GTATATATTATATTGGTAATAATCTTATTAGTTATTTGCATTTAGAGAAATTTAAAAAGGTCATTTTTACTGGAGCCCATTGAACTAAATCATGAGCAAGAACGACACGCAAAACTGGTCGTGTATAATATTTATGACTGTTATAAGTAATAAAAATTAACAATATAACTTACAAGAACAAAATAACATTTTTGTGTATAGAGCCCAAGATCCAAATATCATATTATTGTTTTTTACGTTGCTTAAATATTTGGATTCTTCATTAGAATAACAAGCTGTGAAAAAGATAGATTTTTTTTTTTACAAATACTATTGAGTAATAATATAAAATTGTAGAATATTTAATATACTCAATGCTGATACGTACAATAAATGACTAAACATTCACTAAACATTCATGCGCACCTTAATTGCCTATTAAACACGCCGTTTGAACATCATTTTATAATCGAAAATTGCAAAAAATGCATAAAATATAATGTCTCATAGATAACAATATACTATTTTTGAATCATCTGAGATCAGGGACGTATTTACCAATTTGGTATCGGTAAGAATTTTAGAAAATCCACCAATAAATTAATTGTCCTAGAATACAAAATTTAAAAACACGAAATGTAAGTAAGTACAAATTAACTCTTTTTAACTGAATACAATGCATTTAAAACAAAATTAAACTTGAGTTTTCGAAAGTATAACATGCATAAAATACTAAATAAAGTTGTCTGTAGTCTGGCTATAAGTTATGTGTCGTTAAACAAACAAGTTACTCAATTGTTCGTTACTGATTATTAATTAAAGTAAATCTCATATAATTTTTTGTTAGTTTAGGACAAGCTTTAATAAAAAAATGTTCAGCCAAACAGTTATAAACAAAAAGTTAATTTTAAGGAGGACAATAGAGAGAAAAATTCGATGTTAATTTGCCGCCGTTTGAAATATGCAGTCGCAAGCAAGTTCTTACCGTCTTTATATTAGTTACTTATAAGTTATAAGTAAATAGGCTTCTGTGTTCTATCTGATATCCATTCAGTAACTTGTTATTTTTAACGTAGATAGTTATAAATCATTAACGTTAAAAATATAAAGAAACCAGTTAGTATTCTCGGTCGTTACGGGTTACGAACTTACGACTAATAAAATAATACAAATGTGTGTAAAAAACAACTTATTCAATTTTAAATGGTTTATTTCTATAGGATGTTACCACTGGGTACCCTCCCTAATCATAAGATCCATGTTAACCTATTTTTACTGTCAATTATCAAATCTACTTACCTATTGTACCTAAAAAAAAATAGTTTATTACAAAATTATAATAGTACTTCGGTTGCAAATTCAAACAAATAATAAATATCTGCGGTTATGAATAATACCTACAAATTATGGAATTTTGGATAAAATACAAATTTATATTAATTATAATATAGAGAATTGCAGGTGTATGATTCGTGCACTTAATATTTTATATGCAGGTTCTCAACTTTTGATTTACAAAGTTCACAAATTACTGGACATTTTTCGGCAAACGATTTATGTGAAGTCTCACAATAACGTTTAAGGGGGCTGGAGCAGGTACAAATTATCACGTAAAACAGACCAAAAGCTAAACAAAACTGTGGGACTCGGGTTTGACGGATTTTAATTTTGAAAACTAATTGAAAATCTTCAACAACTCTTCTAAAGCATGGCCGTAGAAAAGTATCATTATTACAAAAAATAATGACGTACTTAAATATATAAAGTACAAAAATTCAAATTTTTTAAAACTGACAATATGTTATCGAAGAATTTTTATAAAGAAAATCCCCTCGACCATTCCCTAACTAACATAATGACTAATTAATATCCATTTTCAAAATTAAAATCCGTCTCATCCAACTCCCACAATTTTGTCTAGCTTTTTAGCATTTTTGTAATGTGAATAGCATTGCATATAATTGACAAAATCAAATACATTGACATGTGCCTGCGCGTGCCGAAATGCATCGGCGGGGCGGTACTAATTGAAAATAAATTGCCAACATTCGGTTCTTGGAATTAACAACGTTAACTAACTTTAATTTTGTCATACTTTAGGTCTTTTCAGCTAAAATTAACGGCAGTAGCGAGGCCCCTTAAGGGGGCTGGAGCGGAATCCACTCTAAGGAGTAAAAACTAGGCATTTTATATTTCAGTTCATATGGGTCTTGTGAATGTTGAAAGTAAATGCATATTAGTGTGTGTAATTCGTAGTACCGATCACGTTGTTTAGGGACATCATAATACGTCTGTCATTTTACCTACACGCATACACATGTCACCATGTATTATTACTTTATAAAATTAGGAAAATTTTTTTACAAAAAATACTGCCAGTGACTTCAATCACTGCGTTCAGTAGGATGTTCCGATTTAAATTTTGAAAGCAGATTTGAATTCTCCTCTAAATTGACTATGCTTTGACTGTCGTACATTTTTTATATTCTATATTAGTGTATTTAAATTTGAATTATGAATATGATCTATTTTTACTCTTTTTGCTAGTAAATTTCTAAGTAAAAAAAATAAAAATTAGAAAAATGAAATTTTCTAAGCATAGATAATTTAGTGAAGAATTCAAATTTGCTTTCAAAATTAATATCAGAACATTATATAATTAGGTATAGTGATTGAAGTCGTGAGCTATGTTTTCGACTGAAAATTAAACAAACTGGAAAGGTCCCTGGGCCTAGCTATGTATACTTCATTATCGGTTTTTACTTTTTTTTCATTGTCTGCGGGCTGGGTCCGGAGTGGAGCAGTTGACTACGACTCACACAGTCATAGGTTCGATTCATTGCATAGTGTGAAATAAATTTGCGTGATTTAACGCGATCACCATTTCCCCCTGCTGTCGTCCGATTGCGTTATCCGGTTTCCAACTAGGTCCCACTCCACTGGGAGTGAAGACCGCACATGCCTCCTCTTGCAGCAGAAGTGGGGTTGTATCATGTATATAGTGATATATATTATATATACATAGATAAATAGATCACATGATCTCCCTTCTTCCCACTTGTGATAAGCATTGATGAAGACCTAAAGGTCGTTTCAATGAACAAATAAAAAAAAAAATTGTCTGCGGGCTGGATACAATTTGTCCGACGGCCACCATTTAGAGACCGCTGGTCACAACACACAGTTGACCTACTGCCCGTCCGCCTGCAGTCAGTGAATATTCTTAAAATATTAAATCTACACATATCAACATATTATTATACTCCAAGCCCGCAGGGGACTATGGTAGAGATGTACAGATAGTGGGGAATAAAATGAATCGATAAACGGCCACCATGAAATTCGTCGTTACCACTAATTGACTATAAAGTACCTAACTATTTAATTTATTTATAACAGTTTTACAGTGATAAAATAACTTAACACGGGATCCTACGTGAGAGAACTCAACGAGGCGAAAATCAAAACAGCTTGTATTTTGCCGCATCGCGTCGGGAGAAACAGCATGGTCAGAATAAGGGTTTGCAGTCCCTCACGTAGGACCCCGTGTTACAAGTGCATAACATACCAAATTTACACTCAGCAGAACGTGTTTAGCTCCGTTGGTTTGGAAATTAGAGTGGATCGACCTATTATAAAACTTGATGGTAATAACATTATCTGTGTTCCTGTGTAGGTTTTTACGATAATTCTGTTTTGAAAAGAGTTATGAGCATTTTTAATATATGTATTAAATATACGTATATATAATTTATATACGCATAACTTACTAAAAAATTTAACTATGGTAAAGAAAAACCAAATACAAACACAGATAATGTACTTACCATCAAGTTTCATAATAGGTCGATTTACTCTCATTTTTAAACTAACGGAGCTAAACGCGTTCTGCTGAGCGTATGTTTGCTATGTTACGCACTTGTAAGACGAAGACAAAAAATATCTGGATAGCGTCCACCTAAGTTATTTTATCACTGTAGAAAACTATTGTAAATAAATTAAATAGTTACTTTATAGCCTTGAGTTATTTTTTTTAGTTAATAACCACTATAAAGTATTTGAATACAGAGTAATTTTGTATTCTTATTCTATTTTGTGTATAATATAATGTGGTGTTTGATTATTGTTTAACTAGGTACCAATAATGATTAATGTTATATCTATCCTGATAAAAAATAGATAACTGAAAACCCCTGACAAAATGTTAAAATAAAATACGGAACCCCTCTCCTCCAATATTTTGTTTTTAGGGGCTCATCTACAGTACATAATATGTAGACATATAGTACAGATTTAGTGGTACTTAAATAAACTGGGCAAGCATATAACTATGGACAGTGGTTTTTTATTGGTCTATCCACAATGCCGAGTGATCGTATCATAAATTACTCGTAAGAAAGGCATAAAAATAATAAATATAAATAGATATATAATAATAAATTAATATGAATAATACAAATTGTATGATTGATTTAGTAATTCTGTTGTGGATAATATATTAACCAATAGATGTACTTAAATTTTCAACTAACTTCATATTTAAATACTATAAACAGTATAAACTATTAAGGATTCACTTAATATTCCCTAGGAATTCATTTGTACAGAATGACCTAAATATCATTAAAATATTTACTATTTTCATCATCCATATTAGTATAGTTCGGTTGATTACAAATTTAATTTATAGTGGTAATAACTATAAATAAAAATAATACCGAACGGCGAAATATAAAAAGGTAAAAAGTAAAGAATAAAACAAAACAATTTATAATTTGATTTCCAAAAATGCAGTCAATTTGGATTTATTTATATTTGTTTGTTTTTATTTTTTCACAAAAATGAAAATTTAATTGTATTATATTTGTTTAACCATAGATTAAATATACTTAAATAAGCACTCATATGGGAAGGCTGGCAATGCACAATATTGAAATCCATTTATGTATTCATCCATTCTATATCTCTATTTGAAATCCAACATACATTTATTGGCGGCTTGTCGAAGTCTGAGTTCAGTTTCATTTAGGTATATTTAATCTAGGAATTAATACATAAATAATGGAGTTATACAATAACATAACTATATAAAGACGTCCAACGCTTACAAAAACACTCAATATAGGATAATTCTATAACTTATAGTGATAAAGATTTTTTTAAAGGAGTAACATATTTTGACTAAAAATGTATTACTAAATTATTGTTAAATGAGAACAAGAATAGAGGCATAGCCATAAAATAAATTTAGTGAGACATAAAAATTAGTAATTTTTGTTATTAAAACTGTTGAGAAAAAACATAATACTATGCAGGTTATAATTTAATTTAAACTTTTTTTTATCCCTAGGTAGGTTACACTACAAATACACACTCAACATTGAAATACAAATAATGATAAGTGATAACATATTATATATATATTAAATAACATTATTATCATATTTTTAACTTGTTTTGTTTAATATTCACTTGAAGTATTTAACATATTTATTGTCTAATGTTTATCAGAAAACTTATTTACAGACATTTTGTTTAGCAAATGGTAACAAGCGAAATGTTAAGAATTGTTTGTTTTTTTATATATAATAATATATAAAGTTATGACGATTAATATAGGTATATAAAAAATGAATGCATAATAATAATAAATTACTTGGTAATCGGTAATATCTAGGGGAACACAGATATAATACCACTGGGGTGACTATAACCACGGTAGAGAAACACAGGGGACAAGTTGAGCTTGAACTTTGCACCAACAGAATACACATATAAAACATGTACCTATCCCTTCGCGTGTGTTGTCTAGTCCAAAACGCACAGAGTGCCAAAGAGAGCCGAAGAGAAAAGTCAAAACGTAACGCGATATAATAAGATTCTCAAAAGTCCAAAAAAAAATACTATCTATCCACTAATACCTACGGTCGAATTTGGTGAATAAACGTTTTTTTCATGGCCAAACGCACATTGAATTCTTATCTTAAAACGCGGTCAACGAATATAATATAATATAATATAATATAATGATAACAATAATAATTAATAATTAATAAATATAATTATAGTTATAGTAGTAATAGTAGTATTATAGTAGTAGTAGTTATAATAATATTAGAAGAAGAAGAATATACACCTACAAACAACAAAACCGAATGGAATTAACGAGTAGCGTGTGTTATAATATTGGTAATTTATTTTCTGTTTCTATTATATCAATTTATTTATTGCCAGGGGATTATATTATGTAAGTTTTACGTAGCGACACGACAACAGTCGTCTCACACACACGACTACACAATAAATCGGTTTGTATGTCGATCATATGATTACAAATCATAATAAATATATTGTATTATAATGTTCAAATTTCAATGTCGTCGGTGTATAGGTACCCTACATACCAGCGTATCAACATTTTATACGCTTGTGGGCGACATTACATAATACAACATTTACTATGATGCTTTTTTTTTTATTTAACAAGTCTTTACGCAGGGGGTAGAGGAGTTGGCGTCGTGGTCTGTTCGGTGTCGTCGTCTTCGTCAATGGCAGTTTGCGTTGCTTAAGGTAGAGCCACGAAGACTTGTAGTATGTGACTGGGAAGTATCCGGTACGGCCGTTGGTACTGCCCTCGTACCAGTTCTCGTCGACCCCTGTCTCAGCAGTATTATAGTCTCGCCTCCTGACAACACGTTATCGTCATTATTATTACATATGTATTTTCTTTAGATGCCTTTTGGCGACTAGAATGGTGATGGACGCTGGTGGTATATCAGGCAGTACTCGGAGGAATAACGTTCGTTTGTGAGAGAGCCCGGCGAGAGGTAAAACGTTTAAATATGATTTCTGAATTCATATAGTATGGACTATGGAATTATAGAACATGTTAATAAATTATATCACTAAATAAAGTATAATTAAGCAGTTTGAATACTTTTTTTTGAAAATACATATTGAAAAAGGTGGGCAAGTGTTGTACACTATAGGTTACACAATTGACCTCCTGAATTTACCAACTAGATTCACTTTCCCATCGAAGGAATACTGTTGAAGAAATTCGAAGCAGTGTTACTGCCCTAAACGGTGATGACAGACACAAAAATAAAAAGCGCACGTAATAGTTGTAAAATCAATACTCAGAATCACTCTGCCCAGAATCTAAAATAAATGTAACTATTGGTAGGCAATTATCTATCAATAATATTACAAAAAAGTCAAATTTTTACCTTATTGAATGAAAATCGTTACACAATGCACGTGATTCCTTAACCATATAATAGTCCCTTATAAAAAAATTAAGCGTCTGCCAACTGCGAAAAATATCTGGGGGAAGAAGCTAAGGTTGAAACCAGGGGTGGATTAACGTTTATGTACAGGCAATGTATATTATTATTCAATACAGATGTTTTCCTAGAGCCACATTTTTATCGCAGGAAGCATTTACTATTAAGAAAACATCTAAGTATTTAATATATACTATTGTAGACACGTAGTCACGTAGAAATGTTATTAGGACATAAAACTAAAATGCTCAATGCTCTAGTGGGTAAGTAAAGGGAAAGGGCTGGATGGGCACAATTGGGTAGATGCCACAGTTAGTCACATACCTTAAATCCTAATTCTCCTGGATTCTCAGCCTCAAAATCGTATAACGCGGTACAACAAGGCGAGTTGCGTGGTATTTGCCGTTGAACTGACTTAATTGGAGAAGAAACTGGCGATGCTATAAAAAATAACAATAATTTCTGTTCATGTTGATATTTATAATAGATTTAAATAGAAAACAAATAAAACATGTGGAGACAAATATATCATTACAATATTTAAAATCAACAACGCAGTAATGAAACATAATATAATTTAAGTCTATTTGTATTTATATAAAAACCAATAACCATGCAGTAATAAATGATAAGGTACAAGAAAGAAGTATTGAAGTATTGAACTGGACAAAATTCTACAGACTGAATTTCGTTCAAATTAAATATTTGCAAACGTTATAAATAGGTTACATTTTTAAGAATTTTAGGCATTCGACTTTTGATTGGAAATTTATTTAAAGATCAATAGTACTAGTCGGAGAATTCAAACACACGATGTATAATAGGTATTATTATATATCAGTCAAAATGTTTTAACACTTTTGCACATATAAAAAAAAATAATAATACCCAGTATAGGTACAAGAAACTAAATTATTTTTGTAGCTTATTAAAAGTCAATGCTAATTAAAAATTGTCTACCAAGATTTAGATAGTATACCTACTACATTTTTACGTTGAATCGTTTTAAACGAACGAGTGAAATTGCGTTTTAACTTTAACCTTAATGCATTTGCAGTCGTTAACGCAAAATAACGGTATCGTTTTGCGAAGAGTGCGTCGTGCGTGTATAAAAAAGTAACTACCTACCAAGTTACTTCGCGGTGAAAGTGTATTAAAATATTTACAAGCGTCTTTAAAGTAGCAGTTAATGTAGTAGTTAGCAACAATAAAGAACATAACATGCTTTAAACAAATAACAACAATAGATACCATTGTGATGTGGTTGTTGATGCTGGTTATCGTGATGGTTTGCTCCGGACGTTAATTCCAGCGTGTTAGACTTTGCGTGAGTCGGGGATGAAGCTCGTGAACTACCTAATATGTTTATATTTCGCATTATATAGATAAAAGGCAATTTGGTTAATAAATAATAGTTGTTAATTATTACGTATAATATACTATAATATATAAGCTTTAAAAGTAAGGCAACGATCAGAATATATAAATATATTTTCGACGATTCAAGCCCACAAACATTTCAACAATACTGACATAATATAAGCCCAAAAAAGTATACATTTTTTAAAGGTAATGTTTCATTTAATTGATTAAACTCGGTAATAACTCGACGAATAAACAATTATTTGTTTGATGATATTTCCAAAATGTTTATCAAACGCCAAAGTATAAAAAAAATCAAATTATATATACATATGTATACATTATAATATCTACACCCTAATAAGTAATAGAAACAAATTATAAACTAATATTTACGTCAAAAAAAAAAATAGGTAGGCACTATGCTAGTTAAACAAATTTTAGAAACAATTAAATTAAATGCATGGATTTGCCTAACCATGGTTTTTACTTTTTATTCTATGATTGTTTACAAAAAACAATGAAAATGTTTACAATAAACGCAAATCTACAATATTAGTTGTTTCTAACATAATACAGGTGTAAAAGCTAATTTAATTTATAACATTTAATTTAAGGTAGGTATGTATTTATGGGTTTGAACTTTGAAATTCTACTAAATAAAAGTAAAATTAACACATTGTGTTCACAGACTGCCTGTCATACTAAGAAGCAAGACTAACAACATAAAGTACAATATTCACTCAAATCTATATGCCCAGATATCTCAAACGACCTCATTCCCTTTGTCAAAGATGTAGGATTGGATAAACAAATTAACTAATTACAATAATTAAGCAGCAATCTATTCCATTTTGCACAGTATATAATATATTATACCTATATTATATATATTATAATGTAATCTAATGTATTTAAATGTATTAAAAAAATATGTTTAAAGTTAAACTAATTGCCTTAATTGCCGAAGTTGTATATGATCAATAAAAAAAAACAATTAGTACCTATATCTAGGGTTATTATCTATGCACGAAACTATATATTAACTAAATATACGATTGTATTAATAATACGTGTTAATAATTAATATAAATTAATAAAATAACAATGCAATGTTAATCTGTTAGGTTCAAACCAAACTATCACATAATATGTATTTGGTTTTACGAAAAATATTGGTATTAAACTAGTTATTTGGGTTTTTACCTTTGACGTGTGCGAGCTGTGGTTCCATCAACTCGTACTCGTCTGAAAAAACCGTTATACTATGTATATTATCATGAAACTAAAAGGCCTAGAAAACGGTATTACGAAATGTCGAAATCCCACTTCCCAAACCAATTACAACAATACAATAACTTATAGGTAGGTATCGGCGTATTATCCGTATTATCCGTTTCGTCGTGGGTGATAAATACATATTTAAATATATATTTATATTGTAATTTAATATATTAATTATATAATATAATAAATAATTAATTATATTTAGAATTAAATTTATTAAAGCCTATTATAGTAATGGCGTTTCTCAACATCTACATGACCACTGCGTTAATTTGTATGAATTAATTAAAATTTTTATATATTAAAATGTTCAAATAATTACCATTAATGTCGTCCGCGATAACATCCACTGGATGTAGATCGTTCAAAGTCTTAGGCACAAATTCTAATTTCGGACGGCTAGCGGCTTGATCACGCCTATAATATCAGAAAGCGTCAATAAAATGGTTTCTATATAGGTACGTCATGTCCACGAAATTTTGTTCGCAAAAAATTATGTCCATTAAAAATAATGTTATATGTTTATTATACACACAGTAAATATACCAACGCTATTCAAATATCAACAAATATTTTGTAATTAAGAAGAAACGAAAATCACATGCCAATATCAGAGACAAAATCAGCTGATGAAATGTCTGCATAAATGATCAATTACAGCCGAGATCCTATAGGGTAAATCAAAAAATTACTGAATTTATTGGCAGAAAACACATACATATCTATTGCGAATTCCGAATTTGAAGGTACATAATATATTTACCGTATACGTTAAAATATGGTAGATGGGAGTATGGGACAAGGATGCAGATCGCCGATCGGCACTATAGATTATTGCAAATTATTTTACCCACTATATAATAACGCGGTTCTCTTTCACAGAAATAGGATACTCCATGTGAATAGCCGTCAAGTTGATTTTGTGTTACACGTTTATTTATTTGAAATCATCACTTAATATTATAATAGGAACTTATTAGATATTTCATATAATCTGGATACACATAAATTATTTACATACAATGTATGTGGTAAAAATGTACATGAAATATTTTATAATTGGACCCAAGTACTGTTATAGGGTCATAACATTTGGCGAACATGCAAAATATCGTGGACCAAATAATGTGGATAAACGTCTGGGAACTATAATAAAATCGCTGATTAAAACCGTTTAACTACCTATAAATGTTTAAACATACTTTTCCTGGATTTCCATTACTGCCAATTTCAGAATTTCGGTACACTGTTGATGGTACTCGAGAAGACCTTCCGCAAATGTAGTTAGCTGAGATATTTGTTCAATCTGAAATACGACGATTCTCGTAAAGGTGATACTTTAATTACATTTTTATATTATCATTTTATTATAAAGCCGGTTATAGTTTGAAACAAACTACGTATCAGAGTAAAAAAAGGAAATGTACATTTAATAATTTCTATAATTAAATAGTTGTAAACGTACATCGTTGTCGAGCAAGTTGAACATTCCTATCTGAGCACTATGCAACGATTCTGCAAATTTTTCTTCAGCTTGTTTTAGTTCCTCGTCGCTAACATGCGAACCTGAATAAAAACAAATTCAAAGTTTTTTTTATTATCTATATTATATACAAACATAAAAAATAATAAATTTAAATGTCACCTTTTGCTTGTTTTCTACGTTTGCAGTCGTAATCTAGTCTTCTTCCCTGCAGTTTCTTTCTATGGTGCTAAACAAAATAATTTAAAATTATAAAATGATGATTATTATTGGTCAATCTTTTTTTATCATACCATCACTTCTTTTAAATCTTTGGTTTGTAAATGATGTAATGGTTCAAGGAAATTTTGTTTGGTATTGTCGTCTAATGCGTACTTAACGTCAGCCATTTGCTTAAGCGCTTCTCCCATCTCCTGCAGTGCTTGGCCAAATAAGCTATCATCGCCAAGCTTCTTACCATACATGAGCAGACAATCACCAAGGGTACCTTCAGCCTGTGGATAGGTGGACGCTTTTGCCTGACCACTGAGTTTCGATATGCCTTTGACGGCTGCCATTTTTGCTCTAGCCGTAGGATTCGGCTGCAAGAATTCTTTGGTTTTCATCTGAAGTTCTTCGACCAGCTCGTAAGTAACGTCAGTTTTCTAAAAAAGTTGATAATCAGAAATTGTCCAACTTATTTACAGTATAATACATCCAGTACAGACATATTATATTATAAACATTTACCCTTTCCATATCCACGAAGTCTACGTCAAGCTTGGTCCCTTCAACCCCACCTATTTTTTCAGTCATGTACTGCAAATTATAACATGTAGATTAAACTAATATATTTAATAAATGGATAAAATAAGTACACGTATATTTAAGAGTTCGAACTTCTATAATATACTAGGCATAACTAATAACTATTAACGGTTGGAATTATTAATATACATACGTTAGTACGTAACTTATTAATTTATTCTATAGGGCAAGCACCAATTAAATTATCTACCATATAATTTATTTGTACGACTATATTATAGTTATAACAATAGTATGGATAATATTGACTTGCAATAGAGTATACAATCAAAAGATCTAATATAAAAAGATAATAATATAATACCTATTTTATTTTATTTAGCAAGATTGCATAATAATTGAGCATAACTAATTCATAGTTAACTTATTAAACGTTAATGGTTGATTTATTATAAATACACTAAAAAACCTAAAGAGAAATCAAATATATAAGCTTTATAATTTGTAATAACTAATTGTTTTTATAACTAAATTTATGCTGTACCTATATTGACGCAATTTAAGATTTTTAAAAGGATTTTCGCATAGTAAATCATTTGATAGTGATTTAAAAATGTAATTACACATACTATTATTTATATTGTTCATAATTCAAGCATTTAAAGCATTTTATAATTAATACAAATTGCTTACTACTTAAACGTTACAAATATTTACTCTTTTAATCTACACATCTACATTTTACATAAAATCGTTTTATTTATGTAGACACTTTACATAGTATAATTCGCCAATTTCTAAGATATACGTCTCATCGTATTGTTAAACGGATATACTCGAAAAATGACGAAAAGTATTCAACGGTGCAAACAAATATTAGATAAGTTAATAAAAATAATAATATTCATCTCGGGATATTTCATTTATTTCTTAAGTAAGTTGGTATAATGTATTAACGGTAAAAAAAATGTATAGGTATGTGACTATTGCTTATTTCTCATTATAGTTCGCTGGTCTTTTATTAATACCCTTATTATTATAACGAGGTGGCGACGGATATATATATAGGATATACCAACAGATAAGAATCGCACGACCAACCCCCTCCCTCCCAACCATCGTCAATATCGTCAGAACTACGCCACTTCCACGCCGGCCAGGGGTAACAGAGCTTTGTTAATCAATAAAATGCTCTCGACTCCCAACCCGACGCACACACACACACGCTTGTACGTATGTTTACGCACGCACACTAATGTAACAACACTCCCTTGGCCTCGTTTTAACTTTTTCTTCTCTCCACTAAAGTGAATAGGGAAATTAGGTATACTTTAGTATAGGAACGCGTATTAAAATTTAAATGATACCACGGCAAATGTAAAGAATAATACAAATTTAAATGACAAACAAATCAAGAATCATTATAATATTTATTCGGATATCTTGATATTTCCTATATATATATATATATATACACTTCTGTGTTCACTGTTACTAAAGCAACACACCGTGTCAACACAAACGACGATTAATCAAAATATAAATTAAAATACAAAAAGTTAATTTCATTAAATTTATTTGTAGGCCAGCGTTCGTACTAACCAAACCGTCCATTTTTTTCTTCTGTAAACATTTTTTTTTGTCAATTAATTTACAACACACTTTTAAACAGGAGCAAATGTATATCTATAAAAGTATAAAAATCGTTTGTTACGAGCGAATTTTATACAAGTTACAAATAATAGAATCTTAATTCTTATGATGGGATTATCGGAAGATAAGCATAATTTTCTAAGGTTTTAACACTATTAATATAAATAAATATATACTACTAAAATAGGCCCACCTTATTACACAAAATAATTACTTAAATTTCACTACTCCAGTTATGACTAGTTTATTTAATATTTTTTTATATATAACAAACACGTGCTAAGCCCATGATAAGATTTTATTGAAAAGAACATACACACACACACACACACACATTTATAAATAATAAATATATTAGTCAAAGAGTTAGCTACAAAAGTAAACAACTACAGTTCTTCGTTAACTCGTTTAAATATTTTGTAAAACCTTCATATTTTAACTACAACAGTAAGTTAACCTGGCTATTTTACAATCAATTAAAAAAGTAAAAACACAATTTATAAAAGGGCGTAACCGGAAAACAAAAACATAGTTGAAATAAAATATTACATTATAACTTATAAGAAAATTAAATATAAAATAACGCACTGATATTGCATATATAATGCGCCGTCTCAACAAAGAAACCAGCAAAAAAATACTTATAAACCATAATTTAAATTCTGTAATGTTCAATTAAGAAATTGATTCGAAAAATATATCTACATGTAGCCTGAATGATGAAAATAAACTATTAACTCCCTAAGTTTTTTTTATTTTGATTAATAATAAATTAGGAAATATTATAAACTTTTTTAGTAACACATTTGTTTAATTGTTTGTGAACTATAAACCATAATATATTTGGGTAATGTGCTTTTCATCAACTTTTTAATTTATAAAAAAAAGTCGTACTTATTTGCATACATCACAGATCGAATAATAATAAAGTCATATTTACCTGATTCGCTTTATTAATTTGCTTTTTGAGGCCGGCAAACGCCATTTTGGTAGCTTTTTGTTCAACTCGTGTGCATTAAAAGTCGACCTGAAACCAATAAACAAGAAAAATCTTACTAGAAAATTAATACAACATGTTTGAAGAGTGTAAACATCGTAAAGTCACTCTCAAAAATTAACTATGAACAACAATGATATTGGTATATAATATTATATATATGGATAATTAAATTCGAAGTTTTACTTCGATATTGAATTTTAAAAAAATTCCTAAAACAATAAGCTATATTGTATCGACGTTATTGAAAAACGTAAATATTGTAAAACAATGTAAACAGAATAATATGACAATTATATTATGTGTACGATTTTTCAACGATTTCGCACTGATTTTACCAAAAATATCCGACGGGATGATCCGTGTGCGATGCGTCTCGTACGTACTCGACTTCCGGTGACACTAGCGCGCGACTAACGCAGCGATCGCAAAGCTCGATGACTTTTTTTCGCCGTTCATCTCGCCCATCGTCGCACACCGCGGCGTACCGGCAACGGCGCTTGCGCTCAGCTCCCGGCCGCCAACGTTATAATATTATACTAACGGCGCGCACGCATAATAATATATACCGCCAGCACTATAACATGATATTGTTTGGCCCTCCGTTTTACGTACGTAGAAACGTGTACGGTTTTTTTCATTTATTTTTTCGTTCGTTTAAAGTTATAATTATGTTGTTACGAAGAATACTCGAAACCCGTGTAACTGCAAATACAATTATAATAAACGTATATATTATTATGTATTAAACTCGATGAGAAAACATATTATCACCACACATCACCGGCGAAACACGTTTTTTTTTTTTTTTTTAAGCGTAAAGGTACACAAGTCACACCGACACCTACAACTGAGTACAACATAAAATAGGTACGCGTTGTACTCGACTGCAACGTACGCTCGTATAGTTGTTGATAATAATTACTGGAGATCCACATGTTGAACGTCACATAATATAATCAAATTACATTGTCAAATACACGGCGTATTGGCATTTGAACACTTAGCATTTATGATTTATTCCAGTCCTCGCGGGATTATCATTGTGTTTAAGTGTAATATGATCAATTCATAATATCATATAATGAATCCGGCATGTTCTAGCTAATACAGTAATACCTACACGAGTCGCGGAATCATAATCTAAAGTTCAAAACGGTGCATGCACGTTTTCATTCATAATTTTCACGTAGGTACCTATTGTTTTCTGTTACCGTCGAAAATGTATCATGTCAATCCTGCGATTAAGTCAAATTATCAACAATCGTTTTTCTAAAATAAATAATTTAGCTTTGTAAGATTTCAATTTAAAGCCTATAAATTATTTTTTTAAGTTGTTGTCCAATTATACAATTTTAATCTCTTAAAAACTAAAATGTCTCAATATTATGGTAATTGAATAACTATAAGTATATCGAGAAGTATATTAAGTAATTGCATTAATTAATGGCAAATATAAAATTTAAAAAACCGTTAATATTATTATTCCATTATTATTTCATGAAATGACGAACGCATTATATACACGATTTCTTAAATTGGTATTAGAGTAAACTAAATTATAAAGAAATACATTTTTCGGGTGTATTTCTTGAGTGGGCGTATAGTAAATTAGAAAGTGACTATTGCATTAAAACTACAATCAAAACGATTTTGAACGTCATGGTTGTTTCAGAAAAAAATCTAATAGGAAAAATTGTATAGAAATTGCAGTGGTCTCTATAGGAATAAGCACCTAAATATGGTGAATAAATATGGTTACCTAATTATTAAAATATGTATTCCAATTTTTCAGTAAATTATGCTTTCAAAAAATAATAACAATTTCAAGTATACATTAATGTTTTTAACCACTTTAAATTTCTTTGAAAAAAAACCATCCACAGCAAAAATTTAAACTATATTGAGACGAATACACAAAAAATCGAGCCAAATCGTTGCTTTTTTCAAAATATTAACTCATATACGTTTATTTTACATAAGTTATGGCAACAAATTTCAACGAAAACTGTACCATCAGCGTCTAATTAGTAATTTCCAATCTACGTAAACGGCTACCTATACAACACTTCTGAACCAGGTGAACCACGACAAAAATATTTTTAAAAAATCCATAATTTTAATGCTATTTAATTCTTATTGCCAACAGATAACCTACAAAAAGTGTAAAATATTATTCTATACAAATTCAGTAAGACATTGTATATAAATAATCGATCTATGTGATATCTATCCATCGCTGCAGTTTTCTGTTACATGTCCAATAATAGTAGTAATAAGTGATTAATGATTATAATTTGTAAATGTACATAAGATTCTGGGTGGGGTATAATTTTAGCATGTCATCAACTTATGAACAATAAAAATGCTTTAATCATCAACTTTGAGAATGTTTTTTCTGATAATTAATTGGTTTTAGTTAGGGGGTCAAAAGTAAACAATTCATGCAGTACCTTTCAAAATAATCAAGAACATAAAAAAATAATTGAAAAAACGTGAACTTTTAAGTAAAACCACTCAGTATCGTAATTTAGTAATGTTTGTGTGGTGTAACATTTACCTTCAACCCCTCCCACCAAAAAAAAATTTGATTTACCTATATCATAAAAACCACTCAGTCCAACCATTAGGATCTGTAATTTGTATAATGAAAGTAGGGTACATGTATAAATGCATGCATACATGAAAATAAATAATTACATACTATTTAATAAAGTTTTAAATGTACTTTTTCGAGTAAATTCATGGAATAATCTGCGTAGATGTAAAATACTCAAAATTGCAATCTTCAAAAGGTTATAACCTAGGAATGAAGTCTGACCAATATTTTCTGATTGTACCATTGTGCTTAACTCGTTGAAATATACCTATTACCTATAGGTTTCCGAAAAATATTCCCAAAAATCGAGCTAAAAGAATTATTTCAATATATTTGTCCAATATTAATTAGTATTTATTACAAAGTATTATTATCTTAGTTACAACTAACATAGGGGATTTGGTTTTTATTTTTTTTATTAAATATTTGCAATCTGCGCATGACAGCACAATAAGTAGGTAAATTTGATAATTTATGTACAATATTTTAACTTTGAATAATATGAAGAGGGAGGCCAACCAGTGATGGAACCCAACGTAAAATTATTTTAGGTTAGCAAATCTCTGCAATATTTTCTCTTGAGTCTATGGATGGGATTTATGGATTGAGTATTAGATGAGATTTGAGGTGATAATGGGTTAGTATGGGAACATTTGGGTTTTTATTTGTTGTTTCTATAAAATGTACTATATTAGTACCAATAAATAATAAGTACATGTAAATATGGGTATTCAACAAGTAAAAATGTCATTGGGGGAGGGGGGGCACGACGGGATACGTACGGTAGTAAGAAAAGAATTATCATCGATAATTTGTCATACATTTTATAATTACAATTCGTTGTTATTAATATGTTAGATAGTAATATATTAAGCTAATCTAATTATGAAATAAATAATATGTCAAACGATGAATAAATAAAAGAAATTTATTCAAAGAGTTTAATAATAAAAAGTAATCGTAAACATTAGATAAATAAGAATAAACGAAAAAAACTCAATGTTTATATTAAAACAACAAAAAAAGGTACGTAAGGAAAATCATTAAAAGTTAAAATGAATGCATCGAGCAACTAATAAGATGAAAAATAAGAAGTCGTTAATTTCTCCAATTAAATGTAGTAAAAATAATTTGTTAATGTTTAAAGGAACACAATTATAATTTGTTATACGTTGCGCCTACACTATTGTACCATTCGATGTGTTCGTTAAAAATACGCATTAACGAGAATAATTCTCTTAAAAACTAGAAATGAGTATCATACCATAAATTATATTAACACGTATGTTGTTCTCTATTATAGAAAAATAAAATAGTTACAACTTAACTATAAAATAGTATTATAATTTATTCGAAGTGTAAGCCGAGTATTATGATAATCTCTGAGGATTGAGGTACGCCACACATGTAACAGTAGTATCATTACTGTACCAAAAACAATCCTTAAATATCATTAGTGTCAAATAATGTTCTCAGATTATATTCGCTTATAGCAATAAAAAAGTTAAAATATATTTTATAGGCAGACTACATACATCTTAAACTTAAATATATAAGTACTTAACAAAGGGAATAGAGAAAAAGTGCCAAGACACTCTTCTTGCTCTCTCGGGTAGTAAGTTTTATTATAATATCATATAATATTTTTAATTTTAAAATTAAATGAAATAAATAAATCATAGCGTTAATTTTAAATAACAGTTTTAGAGAAGTCGGGAAAAGGTCAACTTTTTATAAAAGTGTGTGAGTCGGCTTATATTTTATCACCATGGTTTCGTAATTTTTCGAATACTTTTCTTTAAGCACTAAATTTAAACATTAACTATCTAAACTACAATCTGTGGTCAAATTCCAAATGATTAATGTAGCGCAATAAAAAATTAAATTATTATCAGAAAACGTTTTTTTATTTTCATTAGGTACGTGTCTACAAAATAGTATACAAATTCCTAAATGTTACTGGAAAACTTGAAATAGTTCACTATCTACTTCAAGAATCTTATATTACATCATACCCAGCTTAAAGTCGTCAAATTGTATTAATTAAATTTACTTATTTTAAATTTGTACCAAGTTAACAATTAAAAATGAATTATTTGTTAATGGTTGTTATCACGATATAAATAAATACATTAATTAATGTTGGTGATACAATTTTTTCCATTTTAGATGCTGAGTGCAAACGATGAATGTATTGATTTTACAATGATGTGTGTTTTTTTTTTTTTGTCTGTGTACACGATAAGTAGTCGAAATAATGCTTCGATTTTCAACTTCAGTATCTTTTCGATTGGAAAGTGAATATCGTTGGCTGCATTTCCCAGTAGTTTTTAAAAGCGCCGGGAAAAACAAAAGAAAAATTAAGGAAAACGGGAATTTTTACGCAAAA